TATGAAAAAGTAGATTGAAAGTTTAAAGTTATAAAAAGATACTCAACATATAGCTTGTAATAACTAAACTATTATGAAAGCAGAGGAACATTTAAGTTTTCAATATAGAAATAGAAAATTTACAAAACAAATTTGAATAATTTTAGTTTTTTTGTTTGACACATTGACAGATGATATACCCAGAGAAATTATGTCCCTTCGAATCATTAACTAGGTGTCGGAAACGGGATGAAAGAAAACGTACATTTTATCTATTAATATTAACAGTGAAACTAAAGGACCAACAACCAAACATTCTACCTGTATCTCGTATGAAGAATTTTTGTAATTGTAATCTCATTACGTTGTTATAATAAACAGAGGTGTGGGATACACAATAAAGAGCTGTGTTTATGGGTTTACGTATATATGACAGCAACCCAACGACAACAGTAACCGAAAGACAATTTAATTCTTTTGACATAATACTATTTTATAAAATTAAGATACAATAGTCAGTGATCAGTCTAATTAGTTGGAAACATTTCTGGATTTGTTTTTGTTAATGTAGCCAAAGACATTGGTAGCGAGAGTTGTACCATTGTGGCATTCAAGTTATTTCTGAAAGCGGTCAAACGGAATGTTATTTCATATTCTTATCAATTTATACAGTATATGTAGAAAAACAAATATCAAATTTAGTGTTAAAATATGCTACTGGTAAAGACGTTTTTTTATGTAAAATTTTACAAACTATAATTGTACAGTAAAAATGAAAGTTTATATCCCATTGTTGAAAAAAGTTTGATCCCTTTGAATCATATATATATATATTGGCTTTATACCAGCCCTAAAAAACGCTAGCTTTATTTTTATTTTTTTTTTTTTTTTTTAGACTATGATAATTGATTTATTGGTCTAAAGCTGTTACAATAACCTTATTGCTACAGCTTTCACAAACAAGGTACCCTGATATATTAATATCTTTAAGAACAGGGTGTCTTAAAGATAAGTTTTACTTTATAATTGTTAGCTAATTACAAATACAAATATATTATAATATAAACTTATATAATTGCAAATCATTTAAATTTGCATTTACGTATATTTTATTCCGGATTTGACCTTTACTTTTCCATCCTTATACAATCTACCTGACACATATTTTACTCGTTTAGAAAAATCGTGCGTGTGTCGCTAACTTTATTTAACTTATAAATGACTTTAACAAGACATGAGCGTTTTGAAATATCTTTATTAAATTATATGTTGTATGCAAGGAAATTCCATTAAAAAAGGAATAGTATATATACACCTATCATCTTTCATGAATCCACATCTTAGGCAAGCTATTTGCAAGAAAAACATGCAACATAGTGAGTACCAAAAAATAATTTAAATGGAATTAAAGGAAATTAAGAAACCAAAAAAATATTTAAACAAAATCATAATGAGTGCAATAAGAAGTAATTATTAAATACGTGTATAAAGATTTTTGTTGGTTTCACAAAGCATTGTGCTTCTTTTATTACAAATAAGGAAAGTATTTTTGACATAATATTATTTAATACAATTATGATACAATAGTCAGTCTAATTACTTCGAAACATTTCAGGATTTGTTTTTGTTAATGTAGCCAAAGACATTGGTAGCGAGAGTTGTACCATGGTAGCATTCGAGTTATGTCTGAAAGCTGTCAAACGGAATGTTATTACATATTCTTATCAATTTATACAGTATTTGTAGCAAAAAAACAAAATATAAAATTAAAATATGCTACTTGTTAAGATGGTATTTTTAAAAATATTCTTTAGCTTCTTAAAATATTTGTAATTAGAATCTATTACAATGTTACTGTTTACTCATTTTCAAATCAACTGATTAAGACTCCAGTTGTTGAAGCTTTTACATAAAGATTATAGAACGTTGGAGGTGATCATAGACCTGTTAGAATTTGGACAATCGTATATCTACAAAAGTAAAATAAAAAGAGATAAAACTTTACTAATCTTTGTCATATCTTTCAGTGAAATATGAAATAAAAAATGAGAAATCATATAATCTGATATTTTTATCAAAATATATCTTTTTTAGAGATTCATTTCCTAACTGAGAGGTAATTATTGTCTTCAATACTAAAACATTTGTTTTGGAAGATAGGCACTTTTTATCAGTTTTTAATCGCATTTAAATGTTTTCATATTTTACAATTTTACTAAGAAAAAAAAGCAAAGTAATTCTAAGCTCTGATTTTTCTACATTCATAATCGTGTGTCTGTAATTCCACAAGTGTTATTAATTTTATAAATTAACATTTATAATGTTTTCAACAATAATCCTTTAATTTTTGCAACCAACAAAATCGCATGTAAGAGATGGTTATTCTTTGTAAGCCGGTGGATTGGTATCAAAAACTTGTCCACTGTTCGCTTCTGATTGTATACCACCAACCGCCTGAATCTGTTGATCTGTCGGTTGAGTTGTTGTCATTACTTGATACTGTTGTGCTCCGGGATACTGCACTATTGGGTTAGCTGTTTGTCCGGAAGCTATCATGACCTGGTGACCGCTTGGCATAGGAATCTGAGTCTGTGGTAGGTTAGGAAACATTCCAGGTTGTGTGCCTTGCATAATAACAACTCCCTATAGAGAAATGAAAACATATATTTAGAGTTAACGTTCTGAGTCAGACTGCATATGAGTGACCTTACAGTTAAGACCTAGAGGAATTACAACTAACACATGAGTATGGTTTTATATACTAGCATATTTCGTATCACGGTATCAATAAAACCCTGCTGTTTTGTTGGATCAATTGAACAGTCCAGTATAATAGTACCAAATGGTAGTTAATAAACTGTTTGGTCATCACCCAATAAATGCATTTAATAATTTTAGGAGACGACACACACTTATGGTCGTTATTAATAGTTACTCTATGCACAGAAAGATTTGTTTTTGCCTGAGTCGAAAACGTGAGTATTGGTCGCATCATCTAAAAATAAAATCCTTTGACCCTCCTTGTCCCCCCTTGTGTGACAAAGTTGGATTCAGTAGGGGAGGGGAAATTTTTATGTTTTGGCGCAACCATTGCTTACCTGCTGATTTGAAGTCTTCAATGAGGAGCAGCAACAGCAGAATGAAGCGGCAATGATTGCCACTACTACTTCTGCAAAGGTCAACACAGCCATGAAAGCTGACAGAATCATAGCTTTTGAATTGTTACTTCCTCTCTAAAATAAACAGTGTAAATTATCAACATAAACCAAATGAACAAACTGAACATGACAAACACAAAATGCTTATTATTATATAAATATAACATTTTTCGCTTAAATACGACATAAAAATGCTAGATCTACATTTTTTTGTTCTTCTCTCAGTGTTATTCAAACCAATCGTGACAACACTTCATGGACAGTCTCGAGCGACCTAGATCATTCTACAAACACGACTATATAAAATTTAGCTTTCGTTTGTCGAATAAGTATTATTATCCTCTATGGCACATACAAAATAACTGATCTGCAAAGTATTTGATCTACATGGTACAATACATCATGGACTTTGTTATCACTTTAATAAATCTGACTAGTGAAAGGCATTACAAATGATTAGACGTATATATATCTTATGTTGTATTGTGAACGCTATGAATAATTGAGAATAACACTATTCAATGACATCAGAGACAATTACAACATAGATTTAAATACGCTACCATTTAACATCAGTTTCAAACATTTATTTTGTAATTTCAAATACATACAGTTTTTAAATATTTTTGACATATATATTTCAATATTCTTTAATAGCGTTCAATTTCTTTCTTTTAATTTTGTGGCAAAAACCTGTTTTCAAAATATAATTTAGACACACCACCTAACAATCTATCGTAAGCACCACAATGTTAAAATCATAACATAGGTTTAATCACTACAAGCGTTATTTTATTTATTCTTTAGCACCCAGCATTTTTTTAAAATGAAATTAAGAATAGAAAGAGGTCATTTTAATTTAATGATAATTTTTAAAAAAAGATAATGAACTCCTCAAGATACCTGTATAAAAATGTTGTACGCCAGACGTGCATTTCGTCTACAAAAGACTCATCAGCTGATCAGTGACGCTCGAATCAAAAAAGTTTTTTAAAAAGGGCCAAATAAAGTACGAATTTAAAGAGTATTGAGGACACAAATTTCCGAAAAGTTTTGCCAAATAAAGCATTTTTAATCTATTCCATGGTATAAGATCCTTAGTATTTCGTGTTAACAGTTAATTTATAATGATGAACATATCAATGATAATGTTTGTCAACACAGAAGTGATGACTACTGGGCTTGTGTTAATTAACTCCTCGTAGATACCAGGATTAAAATGGTGTACGCCAGACACGACTTTCTTTAGCGATACCGTGTGAACAAAACATGTATCTGGAACAATATCTGACAATCATACACAACTACTTATGTGTCTGCGAGAGCGTAACGATTTTGTAAACAAATATAAAGTACGTGTAAAAGCAAGGCGAAAGTAAACCCCGTATAAAGAGAACTTTGTCTGACATAACAGCAAAGCATTTTAGTATCGATAGTGGACAATTTGCTTATCTATTTAACATTTTTAGTTAATAAGCAACACCATTACTTACTATAATTGAACCGACTACACCAAGACTGAACATTGTAGGAACGAAAACTGACGCTCCTATTATGCTACACACCATAAATCCAGTTTTCTAAAAATAGAAATAAAAAGATTGAAAGAATATAACAATACTTTTAAAAATGTACATACAATTAAATTTTAAATTGTTTGTTTCCTTCTTTTTACAAACAAACTTACTCTATACTGAACAGATCAAAAAAACATATCAGGAATTGACACAATATCATAGTCATTCCCTTAAAGCAGAGTTCATTGCTGCTTTAAATTTATTTTTTGTAGTTTTTATTTGTCAACTGTAAATATAATTTTTGTTAAGTTAAAGAATCGTTGGTCTTTCTGTGCGTAAAGCCTACCAGACACATCCAGCTCGCCTCCCTCTTCCTTGACATACACATAGGCAGAAAACCAGTGACAACATACTACAATCACAAAAATTAACATTAGTATTAGTTAATATTTTAAACGTTTTCTTTCAATTCTAACAAAACTAATTATACTCTATTACGACATTTTGTAAATCTTTTTATCCAGTTAGATCCACTTTGCACAACCAACTCAGTTGGTTTGTTGTTAAATTTGTTCTCTTAAGGTAGATGATTGACAACAACAACAATTTTACTTGACGTTCAGCAATCAACAGAAATCATATAACAAATTTGTTTCTGTAACTAATATAGATATATTCCGTTCAGAAATACGCCTGTCCTCCGTATAATTTTTGCATAACTTCTATTTGCATGATTTGTATATGTATTTATATGCACCTTTCTACAATTGTATAAAACCGACAAAGTTTTTCTTTAGAAAGTTTATAAGTTTATAGGACTGCTTAAAATTATTCACTCACCCATCCAGAGCATATAAGACAAGTTATGTCAAATGCAAAAAGTGTGTGACCATCATCATATCGACTACACATCCAATAACTATCATAATAGCCACTGTAATCATAATTATTGGTGCGACAGTCGTCGTATTTGTTCCATGCAATTATATCCAAAATCACTCCAATTAAACTTAGAATCCCAAGAAGAACACCAAGACCTATCTGTACACCACCAAACACCTTAAATGTCCTCACTGGAAATGCTTGTTGCTGCTGTCCGCCTGGATGAACTTGTTGAAATCCCACCACTTGTGGTATGAATGGCGATGACATTGAAATATTTGCAGTCGTTGTTGACATTCTGAAATTAAAAAAATCTTAAATGATATAATTGAAACCTATCGGTATACAGAAAATAATAAAGAAGTATTTGTTAAAAATTTATTTAGTTAGTGTATTGGCAGGTAATGATCTATATATTCATATGTTTTTTTTTGTGACCTACCGAATAAGACTATTTACCGGCTTTATAATAACATGAACATGACGGATGCTACATGTGTAGCAGGATCTGCTTACCCTTCCGGAGCACCTGAAATCAACCCCAGTTTTTGGTGGGGTTCGTGATGTTGTTGTTGTACCCCTATTTGTGAAATTATGTTCACCCATCGTTGTCAATATAATGGAATTTGACGCGACTGTCGTACAAGTGAGAGGTTTAGCGCTATAAAACCAGGTTCAATCCACCATTGTCTACATTTGAAAATGCCTGTACCAAGTCAGGAATATGACAGTTGTTGTCCATTTGTTTGATGTGTTTTATCATTTGATTTTGCCATTTGATTAGGAACTTTCCGTTTTGAATTTTCCTCGGAGTTCAGTATTTTTGTGATTTTACTTTTTGGTTGCATAGACTTATGCCTATTCCACGCAATAAGCTCATAACAGTAGACATGTAAACAAATGAACATTTTGACACTTAGTGCTTGGTTTCCTGCTTCCTAAATGTAGATATATCCTTAATGTGGCGCATTTCGTTGTTGTTTTATGTTTTGGTGAATGATTGGACCATTTTATTTCGATAAAATGTGTTTTGGTGCTGTGTCATTTACAACTTATACTGGTTGTTATCTTAATTTAATTATTGAATTGCTTTATGTTTTCAGAATATTTGCAAACTTAAATACATTCTGGAATTACTGGCGTTGTTGTTTGAACATCTAAATGTTCAGTTCGAATTAAATTCTATAACTAAGTTCGATACTTTTAAGTTCTGAAAGAAACCAAGCCACAAAAGAATAAGAAATTGAAAAGTTATAAGGAAAAATTAGAAACAATAAATGATTGTAATACGTTGGAACTGGCATGCAAAATTTAACAGTAAAAAGAGGGAAAACAACAAACTAAATTGAAAAGTAATAAGATGGAAATAACAAACTAAAATGAATAGAAATAAGGAAAAATACCAACCTAAAGTTAACAGTAATGAGGGGTAACAACGTACAAAACCAATACAAATTAAAGGTAAATAACAAACAAAAATGAGAATAATAAGAATTAAAAAAAAATAAAGTAAAGTGTAATAAGAGGAAAATAACAAAGTAAGTGAATAGTGTTAAGCGAGAAGTAACCAACAAAAATGAATAAAATGAAGGGGAAAATAACAAACTTGATTACAAGAATTTCAAAATGTCTTACAAGAAGATATACATACAAACTGGGAGGTTGCAAGGCAAAACATATTTATTCAAAACCTATGAGAGAAACAGATTGATGTTAAGATAAAGTGTAGAAAGTTGTTATCGAACATCCTGACTTAACATTTAAAACAATGTCGGAAAAATCAATGAAAAATGGAAGTGAAGTTTTATGTGTTATTATCTCCATTTGTTTACTATTTCAAGATTCGTAAGCAGTTTTATTAAATTCATGTGTTCTTTCTTTTTAGCAATGAAAATGAGAATATTTTACTAACCTTTTCTTTCTGTGTTGAACGGTGTATCTTATTTATAGATAAAATGTCTGTCAATAATAGCAAAGTAATATCTGTTGTCAGATGAAATACTTCCTCAATCGATCAATGACGTAATTCTACCTTGACTTTATCTGGGTATTTATATTTCATTATAGTGTAAATAGTTCAAGTTTCATAAACAATCTACTGTCAGCCATAACGTTAAAACGATATAGAGTAGGGCCAATTTACCCTGCATTTGTTTTACTCACCGGGTAATACACATAATTTGTTCAAATCTATTTATATTGGAATATCAAAAGGTCTATGTAATTTACTTGAAATACAAATTGTTATTTAGCGCTGTAGTTTGCTGTTGAAAGTCATGCAATTTTTTTTAAATTTCAAACGGCATATTTCACTGAAATAATTTAAGTTGTATGTGGAAGGCTTAAAATGCAATTAATAGTTTTTTTGTTTTGTTTTGTTTGTTTTTTTTTGTTTTTTTTTTGTTTGTTAGGAAAGTCCTTCTTAATCATTTTAAATCTGTTCTTAGAACTTAAAAAGGCCATGCTAAAGATAATTGAGTAAGTGCTAGTCTCAATCCTAATTCTGTTCATTTTAATCGAAAAAGAAATCGGAAACCCCCACCCCCACCCATCACAAACACCATCCCTCGGTTGCCATTGTTTTTTCATGCATGAAGGTATTTACAAAGTAACAAATACATTTGTTGTCAGTCACCATTAAGGCAATCGTGGTTGATATACGTTAACTTTGTATTATTTATAAGTAACATAAGCTTAGAAAACACTTCCCATTTCTTCAGGTAACAGATATTGTAAAAATACGATTAATAGTATGCAAAGTTGCGATTATTTGGTAAAAGTTACAATCTTCAAGTACAATGTTTCATTCTTCTGTCAAATGTAAAATCTATTAAAATATAAATCAAATCGGAATGAACGAGAGTTTTGTTGGAATGGAGATTCCTATTATACATTCATAGATTTTTTGCCCTTTTACATATCAATCCTTTTTAGTGTAACGTAGTTCTTCTTTTTATTTCATAGACCGTAGAATATTAATTTTTTTTATTAATATCGGGGGTCATTTTTTAATTTTTATTAATGTAATACCAATGCCCTTTGATTATAAACCCACAAAAACTTAATTCACCTGTATTTTAGTGGTTGTCATTGTCATCCATTGTGTTGTGCAATTTGCAATTTTTTAATTGCTTATTAGCTAAAACAATGTCGTTGTTTTTCTCCTTTGAATGTAGTACATTTGCTTTCACGGGGTCTTTTTAGATCACTAAACAATCAGATTTTGCACTTTTTTAAAGTCCGTCGTTTAGTCTTTGTGTTATGGTTGTCTCATTGGCCATCATACCACATATCATTATTTCTATATTATTTTGTAAGTTTTATTTTTTGTTTTTCTTCACAGTATATAATGTCCCGATCTTTTTCAGTTGTAATGTTTATCTACTCAATCATTGAAATCATGTTAAGTATTATATGTTTTATCTTGTAGCGATATTTAGATTGTAATTATTCTGCTCTCATGGGGGCACTTTGATAAGTTTATAAAATCATGCTGTTGTATGTTGTATTGATGGTTGTTTTAACAGTCTGACATTAATGTATTACCTTACATTACATTACGTTATTGTATAGTGTTTTGTGGACTGTTGTTTCGTTCATCTTTCTCGAGTGATCATTTTTCTCTAAGTAACTTTTTAAATGTTGAACACTATATTTAGGAGATAACTGTATTGCATTTTAAGATTGGCCTTCGTAAAACGTAGATTTTACTATCGCATATTAAAATTGAGTTTACTTAGCGACGCGTAGCGGAGCTATGTAAACGGATATTTGCGACAGTACAATGAAGTTTTAGGTAGTCCAAGCTTAAAATACAATACAAATATCTCCTTTCTAATGCCACGTATTAAAATAAATTCCATTTTAGTAAATATTATGACTTAATAATGCCATATATAAAAATGTCCGCAAAACTCTTACATTGTCTTTGGCATCTAAACAATGTGACGTCATAGGTATACTCACGATGTCAAATGTAAACACTAGACGTATTAATACTTTTCATACTCTTCTGAATGATTTAGATATTGACAAAAAGAATGTTTTGAGGCACAAAATGTGACTTTTCGGTTTATTTTTTGAGAAATTACTAACCAAACAAATTCGGAATTCAAAATGGTGGCTTTCCTTATTAACCGACTGATAGAAAGTGCAATCTAATCCTTCAAAATATTTGTCAACATCTCATGAAAATTATCGTTCCAAAAGAATTGCATTAGATTAATACATGTACGACTGCATGCGTATGGTTCACTTTCTACTTGTCATTTTTAATATTATTCGGAATAGAGGGATATGTTTTTTCAATTTGATTCTACAGCTTCGTGTTTGTCGGGCAAATAAGTCGTATTTCCGCAAATTGTTATATTGTTTTATATTGGTTTTGCATTATGCCTATTTAAGTTTCAATTATACTGACTTTAGGTTGCAATTCTGTAAATATAGACAATGCAATTTCCCATAGGAATTCCCTTTGCGGCTAAAACTGTGCCACTTTTACTTTGAAGTTTCGTGAAAAATTATATCCCA